GCACAACTAAAAGATTATAGGCACAGTACATCCTGATATAAACATATCTTACTTCCAAAAGGACCCAAACTGTGCAGCTTGAACACAAATAGTTATGAGTTTTACATAATACATAAAAAACAGCTTGATGTAATAGTATAATAGATACAATGGTGGATCACACGTCTTGATGCGTCTAAAAAGAAACATAAAACCATTTTGCACTATATGGTTTTATGTTTCTTTTTAGACGCATACCATTGTATGTATTATACTTTTGTATTCGTTAGAGTGGTCTAAGGGGTCCCCACTCAGGTGGTCTATAACATTCCTTGCTATCACACTCATTCACCTCTGCTCACTGTATATATCTTGTTTTTATTGTAGCTTGATGTAATATAGGAAAAATAGCAAGCATGTCAGATATGACATTTGTTGTGGCAAAGCTGAATAACAATATGATAAGCTGTAGAAGTTCTGGATTAAAATGCTGTTACATAGTGATCACTTGTAGAATGTGCTACATAAATTAATTTCTAATTTATCATAGAGATTAATTATATAATCCATTGGAATTCTTTTATATATAAAATGAAGTTTCACCAGAGAGCAGAATTCTTCTATACAATTCAGAAGGAAGTAGGCTAGTTAGGTAAATTCTAAAACAATCCAATGTATAGGCACATTCATTGAGAAAGTACATATCAGTTTAGTAGGTTCTCACATTTTTCATAAATATTTTTAAAACTGCCTGTCACTATGTACTGTATCTCACAAAAGTGAGTACACCCCTCCCATTTTTTGTAAATATTTTATTATATCTTTTCATGTGACAACAATGAAGAAATGTCACTCTGCTACAGTGTAAATTAGTAAGTGTACAGCCTGTATAACAGTGTAAATTTGCTGTTCCCTCAAAATAACTCAACACACATTCATTAATGTCTAAACCGTTGGCAACAAAAGTGAGTACACCCCTAAGTGTAAATGTTCAAATTGGGCCCAATTAGCCATTTTCCTTCCCCGGTGTCATGTGACTCATTAGTGTTACAAGGTCTCAGGTGTGAATTGGGAACCGGTGTTTTAAATTTGGTGTTATCGCTCTCACACGCTCTCATACTGGTCACTGGAAGTTCAACATGGCAGTTCATGACAAAGAACTCTCTGAGGATCTGAAAAAGTCTATCTTGAAAAAGCCTGGTAGCAGAGCGAGAAAGGCATTAAAGCAAGAGTGGCTTTCTGTCTAGGCACCCAGGACCCTGTTGTGGCATCCGACTCTGGCGTTATTCAGTACTGGAATTAGTCAGTTTTGGCTCCTGCCAGCAGAACTGTGCCTATTATTACGAGAATGGAGCAGTAACATTGCCCAACCACTGTATTCTTATTTGTGCTTGTGCTTGTGTGTAAATGTAAGAGTTCCTGTTGGGAAGGGGGGTTGTTTCTGAATAAATAACAGTGTTATTATTACTGAATAAATATAGTGTTACACTATATATATATATATATATATATATATATATATATATGTTTTTTTTTATTTCAAATGGTATTTGGAAGTGCATCTACCCACTGAATATAAGGATGCTATGTTACACCAGATTTGGTCTATTTAACCCTGCTGACTACCCTCCTAATTGAGTATTTTAGGACTCTCTAATATTTATTATTAAGTGTTTTTACCTTGACTCTCTCCATTTGTACTATAACTCTGCAATGATGAATACGCTCCATATTAATTTGTGAAAAAGTCAATGAATTAACATAAAAATGCAAACAAGCTATGAAACTCACTTTTACAAACAGAGCACCAAGAACTAAGAGATTTGTCTATTCAAGAAAGAGTATCTGAATAGTTAATGTGACTTAGTTCAACAAATTTCAAGTGACCAAAAAAGTTCAGGAAAGTAACCATGTTATCAAGATCAAAAGGTCACAATGAATTTTTTTAACAGGTGACAAAAACCTTAGATTAAAATAAATATAAACTGACGAGTATGACCTTCTAAAATACCAGATTCCACTTTAAAAGCCTGACATATCTCCAGCTCAAAAAACAGTCCTGAGTAAGGTGAGGAAAGCTAACAAAAATAAACAAACACAAATTAAAAAAAAATATAAGAATACATTATTTCAGCATAAACATACTGGTGATGTGAAATGTTCAGCCTGTTAAAGGACCACTCTAGGCACCCAGACCACTTCAGCTTAATGAAGTGGTCTGGGTGCCAGGTCCCTCTAGGATTAACCCATTGTTTAATAAACATAGCAGTTTCAGAGAAACTGCTATGTTTATAAATGGGTTAATCCAGCCCTCAAAGCCTCTAGTGGCTGTCTCATTGACAGCTGCTAGAGGCGCTTGCGTGATTCTCACTGTGAAAATCACAGTGAGAGCACGCCAGCAGCGTCCATAGGAAAGCATTGTAAATGCTTTCCTATGAGACCGGCTGAATGCGCGCACAGCTCTTGCCGCGCGTGCGCATTCAGCCGAATGAGAGGAGAGGAGGTAAGTTTTACCCCTTTCCTCTCCCCAGAGCCGGGCGGGAGGGGGTCCCTGAGGGTGGGGGCACCCTCAGAGCACTATAGTGCCAGGAAAACGAGTATGTTTTCCTGGCACTATAGTGGTCCTTTAAATCTGCATCACAGAATAATAATTAACCAATCTTCTCAAAGTAAACCCAAATGTTACTTTGACATCAACATGTGTATTTAGTTTTAACATTCAAACAATGGAAACCTGTTCATGCACATATAAAATGCAAGGACAGGCTTTTACAAATATGTTATTCTCCTAATCCTGTTATAAGTAACTAATGAATTATAGTATTTACCAGGCTTATTCTCTAAAGTAAACATTACTGTAACCATTAGGCCTAACATCACACTCTGAATTTATTATTTTTAATAAAGATAAACTTGCCCAAATACATGTATCTTAATTACTTGGAAGTCCAGAAAATTGCAAGAGAGTGTAGCAGCAAAACGGAAAAACATAATACGGTGCAGATATATTTAGGTAGAAAGACAAGCACTAACAGGCTGGGAACTATATAATCATGGGGGAAGAGATATTATATGCTTCCTAGTAGTATCACTATAGAATAGAGTTGTTACATTGCCCATTCAATCAGGGAATCTGATTCACTGTGCACAAAGCTAAAGTACAACCTGCGAGACATTTACTAAGGATATCACTACCTGTTTGTAGTTTATCTCACTGTCTATGGTTAGGTTGTGGGTAGAGTTGAGCGGACACCTGGATGTTTGGGTCTGGCCGAACTTTGATAAAAAGTCCGGGTTCGGGCTCGAACTTGACCCCGAACTTGACCCCAAACCCAAACCCCATTGAAGTCAATGGGGACTTAAACTTTTGGGCACAAAAATGCCTCTAAAAAGTCCTGGAAAGGGGTAGAGGGTTGCAAAAGGAAGTAAAATGGGGGTAAGAGTAGGACAAGTGCCCAGTAAACAAATGTGGATAGGGAAATCACCAGGGCCGGACTGGGAAAAAAATTCAGCCCGGGCATTTTTTTATCACAGCGGCCCACTAAGAAGGGGGCGGGGCAGAGAGGGTGTGTTTTGTCATCACTCATGACAAACACGCCCCCTCTCAAAGTGAGCATGTTGGTTCAATGCTCTTCCAGGGCAGACCATGCACAGAGCTCTGCTGAAGAGCTCTAGCATGAGAAAAAAGCCCTGTATTTGTTCTGCACAGTGCAAGCAAATTTAATAACATGCTTGCACTGTTTCCTTGCAACTTGTCTCTGGTGTCTCTATAAATGGATACCAGGAGACAAAAGGGCCAGGAAAGAGTATTGTGCATGTGTTTGGAGCCTGTTTGTGGTATTACGTTTGTGCAGAGTGAACTGGTCATGGTGTGGTATTGTGTAATAAGGTCTGTTTTAGTCGTGTTGTGTTTGTGGTGTAATGTAATGCATATGTGTCTAGGGGCTGTAGAGAATGTGTGTATAGGGGATGTAGCAAGTGTGTGCATACAGGCTATAATGTGTGTGTGTGTATAGGTGATTTAGTGTTTGTAGAGAGTGTGTGTTCAGGGAATGTAGTATGTGTTTGCTTACAAGGAATCTAGTGTGCATATAGGGGATCCAGAGTGTGTGTGTGTATATGATCCAGAGTTGGCTAAAGGATCTAGTGTGTGTCTGGAATGTAATGTGTTTAGGGGTGCAGTGTGTGTGTGAGGGGTGTTGTGTGTATGTGTATATATATATATATATATATAGTTTATATAAATATGTTTGGAAGTATTGTGTATGTGTGTGATGCAGTGTATTGGGGGTTGTGTGTGTATGTGAGGGGTGCAGTATGTGTGTGTGAGGTGTGATGTGTGTGAGGGTGCTGTGTGTGTGAGGGTGCTGTGTATGATGTGTGTGAGAGTGTTGTGTGTGTGATGTGTGTGAGTGCTGAGTGTGATAGTGCTGTGTATGATGTGTGATGTGTGTGAGAGTGATGTGTGAGAGTGCTGTGTGTGAGTGTTGTGTGTTATGTGTGTGAGTGCTGTGTGATAGTGCTGTGTATGAGTGTTGAGTGTGATAGTGCTGTGTATGATGTGTGTGAGTGCTGAGTGTGATGTGTGTGAGAGTGATGTGCCTGAGTGCTGAGTGCTGTGTGTGAGAGTGTTGTGTGATGTGTGTGAGAGTGCTGAGTGTGAAAGTGCTGTGTGTGAAAGTGCTATGATGTGTGTGAGAGTGCTGCGATGTGTGAGATTGCTGTGTATGATGTGTGTGAGAGTGCTATGATGTGTGTGAGAGTGCTATGATGTGTGTGAGAGTGCTATGATGTGTGTGAGAGTGCTATGATGTGTGTGAGAGTGCTGCGATGTGTGAGATTGCTGTGTATGATGTGTGTGAGAGTGCTGTGTGTGAGAGTGCTATGATGTGTGTGAGAGTGCTGCGTGTGATGTGTGTGAGAGTGCTATGATGTGTGAGAGTGCTGCGCTGTTTGTGAGAGTGCTGTGTGTGAGAGTGTTGTGTGTTGTGAGTGCTGGGTGTGATAGTGCTGTGTGTGATGTGTGTGAGAGTGCTGCGTGTGATGTGTGTGAGAGTGCTGAGTGTGAAAGTGCTGTGTGTGAGAGTGCTATGATGTGTGTGAGAGTGCTGTGTGTGAAAGTGCTGTGTGTGAGAGTGCTATGATGTGTGTGAGAGTGCTGCGTGTGATGTGTGTGAGAGTGCTGCGTGTGATGTGTGTGAGAGTGCTGAGTGTGAGAGTGCTGTGTGTGAGAGTGCTGAGTGTGAGAGTGCTGAGTGTGAGAGTGCTGGGTGTGAGAGTGCTGGGTGTGATGTGTGTGAGAGTGCTGTGTGAGTGCTGAGAATGCTGAGTGTGATAGTGCTGTGTATAAATGTTGTGTGTTGGGGGGTAAATAAACAAATAAAAAATTAAGTGGGGGTAAATATATAAAAAAAAAAAAAAACTAAGCCGGCCCCCCCCCTTCCTTCTTACCTTTAGCCTGGGAGGGGGGACATGCACGTGGTAGCTGGGAGGGGGGGCACCGGCACTCGCACACCATCCCTGGTGGTCCAGTGGTGAGTGAACCCTCTCGCGAGATCGGGGCGTTGCCATGGCAACGCTCCGGATCTCGCGAGAGAAACCCGGCGGAGCTGCAAGACAGAGCTCCGCCGGGTCCTCTCCCTCCCTCCCCAGCCGCAGGTCTATTTAAATTGGCCGGTGAGGGAGATCCTTGATCTCCCCACCGGCCCGTCGTGACAAACAGCGGGGCCGGCGCTGGGAGAGTGCCGGCCCTGCATAGACCGGCAGGGGAGATCCTGGGACCTCCCCTGCCGGCCTCGGCCCCACGGCCACCGCGGCCCACCGGGCATTTGCCCGGTGTGCCCGATGGCCAGTCCGGGCCTGGAAATCACTTAAAATAACATAAAAATACATAAAAATTAAAAATACAGCTGAGCCATAAAGTAGCACTGGATGGAATCTTTGATTTTAGCTTTGGAAGAACATAAATCAAAATCTAAAGCATGGCTGTCAGGAGGATCACCAGAATTATCCATTTGAGAGAGGGTTGAAGTGCAGGGTATTCTCTTTCATTGTTCAAACGGAGCTCAACTCCTGATGCATGGAGAAAAGGCCTTCACAAGCCTCTGCTAGTGTGTACAAAGTTTATACTAAGTGACCCATAGGTCGAGGAGGCAGTGACCGTGGCGGTGTAGGTGGGAGCGGCGGTGGAGGAGGAGGAGGTAGCCAACACTGTTTTTTTATTTGTTTGTTTTGTTTATTTATTTTTTTTTTTAATAGGGGTAGCCCCCAAAATATTGGGACATATAAAAAAAAGAAACATTTGCGGCCTGCGGTGCATTTCTTGCAGTCCTGATGCATGGAGAAATGCTCAACTCTTGATGCATGGAGAAAAGGCCTTCACAAGCCTCTGCTATTGTGTACATAGTTTATACTAAGTGATCCTTAGGTTGAGGAGACAATACACTGGCTGCAGGGCAGGCCAGCACCTCCAAGGCACAAAGGGCAAGCTCAAGCCATGTGCCCAATTTGGAGACCCAGAAGTTAAATGGGGCAGACCCATCAGTCAGTACGTGTAGGCGTGTGCACACGTACTGTTCCACCATGTTTCTGAAATGCTTCCTCCTGCTAAGACGTTCCATATCAGATGGTGGTGCTGGTTGTTGTGGCGTGCTGACAAAGCTTTTCCACGTTTCGGCCATGCTAACCCTGCCTTGTGAGGTGCTGGTGGTGCCCCAACTGCTTTGGTGACCTCTTCCTCGTCCTCTGCCTTCGCCTTGTGCTTCCACCTAGCCCCCGGTGTCAGTTGGGAATGCCGTCAGCAGCGCGTCTACCAGCGTGCGCTTGTAGTTGCGCATCTTCTGATCACACTACAGTGAGGGAATTAAGGATGGCATGTTGTCCTTGTAACGGGGATCCAGCAGGGTGGCAACCCAGTAATCAGCACAAGTTAGAATGTGGGCAGTCGTTGCGCAGGCACTGAAGAATGTAGTCGCTCATGTGTGCGAGGCAGCCCAGAGGCAAGGACAAGCTGTCCTCTGTGGGAGGTGTATCGTCTGTGTCCTCTCTATCCCCCCAGGCACGCTCCAGTGATGCCCAAGAGTTGCGTTGCGTTCCACCCTGCTGTGAACACCGTTCCTCCTCCTCATCCTCCTCATCCTCCAGAACTGTGCCCTGGCTGGAAAATTGTGTACCTGGCCTATGCTGGTGCAGGAACCCACCCTCCAAGCCACTTGTGAATGACTAGCCTGATAACCGTGGAAATGACCCCTCTTCCTCCTCCTCTTCCTCCTCTTCCATCACCGCCCAAAGTGTTTTTTCAAGGAGACATAGAAGAGGGATAGTAAGGCTGAGAATGGTGTCATCAGCACTGGCCAAGTTGGTGGAGTACTCGAAACAGTGCAAAATGGCACACATGTCTCGCATGGAGTGTGGCAGAACCAACCTCGTAATTGGCCACTGGAGGAGCCTGGTCGCCCACCTCTTGCTGCTGGACTATGGCCCTGCAAAACCTTTTATTTTCCCTATGTGAGCAGTGTTATTCCAGATAGCTAAGCCATGAAGCCCATTCGTATACCGAAAAACTATGGGAAAGACTTTGGCTCCATGGCGATTGAACTGTATGTATGTGATCTGTGCGCCATTCGGTAATAATGTGTGCTCAGATCTAAGCTATCTGGGTATATGTTGAATGCATATGTTTTATGTAGTAATTGTAACACTGTGTAATTTTATGTCTTTCTACTAACATGTGGCTAATGGAGTTTTGCCTCCGTCCTTGGAGATAATTGGATTACTTCCCAATTATCTCCAGGACAGAGAGGAGGGATTGTGATGCATTGTGGGATTGTAAACTTGTGATTGGTCAATGTCCAATAGGTTTCCCAGTCTTCCATCTGATCCACTAGGGGAGTGTCAACCAGGTGGAAGACCTGTATAAAAGCCGGGCAGGTAGCCCCAGTAAATCAGTTCTGCTTGACCCTCAAATGAAGTGTCGTCTCATTCTTGGGGGGATTGGATTGTATGCTGTTACAGTGTGACTACCAGGAGTGTAAGCTGTTCGTATGGTTTTTCCTGTTTGGCTGTTTAACAGCATTCGTGTATTCGGGAGTTGGTGAATTTGTGTGTTTCCGGTTCGGGAGTTGGGGAATTCATGTGTTTCCTGTTCAGGAGTTTGAGTATTCATGCGTTTGCAATTCGGGAGATTGGTGCTTGCAGCAGCTGTTCATGTATTTAAAAGGGGAATATTGCCTAAACGGTTTTTAACCTCTTGTGTGCAAAACGGTCCGTTACATGGAGGCCCACTCATTGATGGTGAAGTGGTGCTGTTCCGCAGAGCGACTGACCCATGCGTGCTGCATCTGAAACTCCACTATCGCCTGCTGCTGCTCGTACAGTCTCTCCAGCATGTGCAAGGTGGAGTTCCACCTTGTGGGCACGTCGCATATGAGGTGGTGAGTGGGAAGGCCGAAGTTGCGCTGCAGCACAGAGAGGCGAGCATCAGCAGGGTGAGAACTCCAAAAGCGCACACAGATGGCCTGCGCTTTCTGCATCAGCTCTGATATATCTGGGTAGTTTTTCAGGAATTTCTGCACCACCAAATTCAGCACATGCGCCAGGCAAGGGATGTGCGTCAAACTGGCTAGGCCCAAAGCTGCTACGAGATTTCACCCATTATCGAACACCACCAGGCCGGGCTTGAGGCTCAGTGGTAACAACCACTCATCGGTCTGTTGATCCATGCCCCTCCACAGCTCCTGCATGGTGTGGGGTTTTCCCCCCAAACATATGAGTTTTAAAACAGCCTGCTGTTCCCCCTGGCTGTGCTGAAGTTGGTGCTGAAGGTGTTACGCTGCCTGGATGAGGTGGTGGTAGAGGAGGAGGAAGCGGAGTAGGAGGCAACAGGAGGCAAAGAGAAATGCACTGCAATCCTCGGTGGTGGAAGGACATGCGCCAAACTGCTTCCCTCCTCAGGACCAGCCGCCACTACATTTGCACAGTGTGCAGTTAGGGAGATATAGCGTCCCTCCCCGTACTTACTGGTCCACGTATCTGTGGTTATGTGGACCTTGCCACAGATGGAGTTGCGCAGTGCACACCTGATTTTGTCCGCCAATTGGTTGTGCAGGGAAGGGATGACTCGTCTGGAAAAGTAGTGGCGGCTGGGAACCACGTAGTGTGGGACAGCCACTGCCATCAGGTTTTTAAAACTGTCCATCTCCACCAGATGGAATGACAGCATTTCAAAGGCCACGAATTTTGAATTGCTGGCATTCAGGACCAGGGATCGCGGGTGGCTAGGGGCGTACTTCCTCTTTCTCTCCCGTGTTTGGGAGATAGACAGCTGAACGCTTCCATGGGACAGTTTGGAGATGCTTGGGGACGGTGGCATTGCAGGGTGGCAGGTGCCACTGTGACTCCAGAGGTGGAGGAAGAGGCCAAGACAGCTGCAGAAGAGGAAGCATGAGGAGCCTGAGACCTTTCTTGGTTTTTGAGGTGCTTACTCCACTGCAGCTCGTGCTTTGCATGTAGATGCCTGGTCATGCAGGTTGTGCTCAGATTTAGCACGTTTATGGCTCGCTTCAGGCTCTGATTGCACAGCATGCAAACCACTTGTGGTGAAACCGACCTCGCCACTGGGCATTGGAGAAGACTGATTGCCAGCCTCCTGCCATGTGACTATGGCCCCTGGGATGTATTGTACTTTAAAGACATGATTTGGGCATAAGGTATTTGTGTTGTGCTGCTGCTGGCCCTTTAAGAACCATCTGGGGACATACTGTGGAGTTACTGGGTGGCCATCATTTCCTGTATCAGAGGCACATGGTGAGAACAATGGATGAAGCACATGGTGAGAACAATGGATGGCGGCCATTTTAACTCACAGACACTGTTTGGACTTTTCAACACGGTGCCATCTCGCCAGTATTTGGTGCACAGTGACATCGTGCAGTGGTTTTGGACTATACAGCAGGGGACACATTATACAGTGATTGTTTTTCATTTATCCTGTATATATTCTGCAGAATCTGCATTAAACTGTATCTTCCAAACTACTGAACGGATCTGGGTGAATTTTGGATATGTGGTTCACCCAGATTCCCCGGTTCCAAGGATATTTTTATGGGGTTATTGCATGTTTTGGGGTCCCTGTGATGTGTGATGTGTTTTATGAAACTGTATTTCTCTGTCTGTGATAATTAGATTACCCATTGTGTAAGGTAATTGTATCACAGGCAGAGGGGAGGATTTTGTGTGGGAGTGTCTTTCTGTAATGTACGTGTGTTATTGGTTATTCTGTAAAACCCTGTGGGCAGTACTAAGTTTGTGGATTGGGAATAAAAGAGGCTGTATGTGCCAATCCAGTCAGTTCCTGCTTAACCCTCAAAGTGAAGTGTCGTCTAATTATTGGGGGAGGATTTATTGTATGCTGTTCCAGATTGACTGCTAGGAGTGTAAACCTATTCGCATGGTTTTTCCTATTCGGCTGTATACCACTTTCACATGCTTGTGAGCATTCATATGCTCCTACGGTTCGGTGGTTTTGGTGTCTGCTGCAGTCCGCAAAGGCATCTGGTACCAGGCACTGGATAATATACAGCACCAGCGGGGCGAGGGACTCCCCAGTGTAGAGCAGCGGCAGCAGACACGCGTGGCACTGCGGATGCCCCTCCTGGGAGAGCAGCCCCTGGAGGAGTGGATAAAGGAACTGGAGCACCGGGTATGGCAGGAGCTGTGGCTGGAAGATGCCTACCAGGCACTCTGGTGTTATGCAGCGCAGTATATACCCTGGACAGCCGAGCATGAAAAGCCAGAGGGAGAGGAGTTTGAGGGCCCTGGTTTGTTATGGGAGTCTTTTTCAGAGCCTGATTTTGGGAGATCTACACAA